CACACACACACACACACACACAGGCATCAGGCTCACACGTAAAGCCAGCCAAATGCTCATTCCTCCTCCACTGCCGGTAAGTAGAGCGTGACTCCAAACTGCACAGTGAAGGGTAGCATTTCAGATGCATCTCTCATCAGACTAAATGACTGCTTGCCTGCATGGTGCCCCTCCCCCCCACATCTCCACAACAGCTGGTCTCTCTCAGTCAGAGCGTCCCTGGCAGAGTCCCACCCGCTTAGACAGGGCACTGCACAGTGCCAGTGAGTCCAGTGGGGCAGCTGTACAGTGATGCTGTGCTCTCATCCTGCTGTACGGCTGTGAACGTGGCCAGCTGTCTCACACCACAGCTTAACTCCATCTTGGCTCCTAACATCCATCTTGTATGTTTTTCATCATATAAAACCATAAAACCCTGGATTTCAATCCTTTTATGCAATATTTGTCATAAGGTACAATTAATCAATGTTGTCTCTGTAATTAAAACTTCTATTAGGATATTTTAAAAATGACCCATTTTAGGACTTCTAGTGTTCAGTTTATATTACAATCATAGCTGAACAGTAGCACTAGTTACACCACATCCACCTATTAGCTGATATTTATACATTTGCCTAGTTTGTTGTTTATAAGTGGAACATAAAGGTAGTAAATCAGCAATGTCTCCCATTATGCTGGTTCTGCAGTGAGTGCCCTGTCTGCAGTGCGCGTTGTTTTCCAACAGAAGTTTTTCTGGGCCTGGGTGAAGTTTGTGCTGCTTATGAAACAGGTCTCTGCTGTCTCTCCTGTCTGGAAATTATACACACACCAAGAACCACTGTTTGGATATGAAGCTGAAATCATTATTTTAGGTAAAATGATGAGCGGCAACAAGGACAATAAAAATATATCATCCTGTCCAGAGTTTTCACTGAGATAAGATTCGGGCTCGCTGCGATCCTCCGTCGGATAAACTGATTTTCAAAATGGATGGATGGATGGATGGATCTTCTAGCCTGGTTGCTCTTAACCACTGTAAATGTTGCTTTTCTGAAATATGCAGATAAAAAACAACTTGATATTATCAATGAACACATAAATCACTTATCTGTAGATCCTTCAGGAATGGACGTGCCAGCCAGCTGTTTGTGTACACTTTAGCGCCGAATGTGACTGCGTGTGACTATCTGTTAGTACTAAGTCTTGTCTGGGAAATCAAATATGCTAAACCGTTCTGAGTATATGTTTTATTTCAACATTTTCATCTAAGCTGATAGTTAAGAAGGAACATTTCTGATTTCTATAATGTTCATCATACCAAACAAATAACACGCATCCTCTAAGCGTAACGTCCTACGTGTGTGTTGTCTGCAGCTACAGGAAAGTTGTCTCCAATGTCTGCGAGGGAGGAGTCAACAAGCAGCAGAGCTCCAAGCAGCACATCTGCCCACTGCTGCCCCCTAAAGGCCTCCAGCTGGGCATCAAGGGGCAAATGTTGGCCGTGGCACCTGGTGATGACATCACCTTCACCGTCGTTCAAGAGCAGGTACGATGCGACCTCTAACAGCATGGCGGGAAGTCATCCATCCATTACAGGGAGGTTTACTCAGGCCAGCTTTATATTCCAAAGCAGGCATTTGTGAAGGAATGTGTGGTATTTGGTGAAAGCTGGGCCAAAAATGTTCACATCTCTGATGGTGCGAGTTCAGGGGGACACCACGAATACCAAATACCAGGTCGACCTGGGCGACGGCGTTCGGGCCATCTACCGCAACCTGACTGTGACAGATGAGCCCATCCAGCACCGGTACATAAAACCCGGTGTTTACCGGGTCACCGTGAAGGCCGAAAACGCAGCTGGGCACGACGAGGCCACCGTCTATATCCAGGTCAATGGTGAGAGACCGGGGCTCACAGGTGCATGCTGGGATTCCTCATGTCACACAGTCACATCACTATGGGATATGGCTCCATAACCACAAACAGAACATGCAAGACATGCTTGTCATTGAACAAATAGACTGGAAAAGATCTACTGAGTTCAGTTTTAAGAATGCAGTTACTAGAGTGCTTTCAGTCATGGTTGAATGCATGTGAACATTTGTTGGCTGTTTGAGCACAGCAGACCAAAATCCCCAATGAAATTCACTATGTGTATGGGAGTTTTTAAAATGTTCTGAGGGCAGAACACCCCATCAGATGTCTTGGACCCACCTTCTCTACAATCTGATTGGCTATCTCTCTGAACCAATCATTATTCATTCTGCCCTCAGAACATTTTTGAATGCTCCCAGGAGCAAGTTCACTATTTTGGAGAATATACATATTTGTTTTGAATGGAGTAACTCTGTATGTATCTGAGTAACCACCCCTATGCATGCAGCCCCTCTACAGGAAGTCCACCTGGAAGTGGTTCCTATTGCAGGAAGAAACCAGGAAGTGAACCTGACTGCCATGGTGCTGCCTGATGCCACCAACCTGACCATCTTCTATTGGTGGATCGGGGACAACCTGCAGGTGCCAAACCCTCCATGCAGTCACTTCACAGCCATTTTTAATTATTATTGAAAGAAAGAAAAAAACACCAATATATCCCCCTTCACAGAAGGCAGTACATGTTAAAAGTACATGATAGAAATGTGGTTATAAACAACATACAGTGGCATTTGCATTTACATATTTAGCAGATGCTTTTATCAACAGTGACATACAAGGGAGGCAAATAACGTATTACAAACATACGTGCTGTCGAGGAGTCAACTAGGCGTAAGTGCAGCTAGGGTGAGCTTCCGATGTGTAAGTGCAAGCAGCGTCGGAGTAGGAGCTACACAACAACAAGACCAGTGCCACAAAAGAACATTCAGGGAACATAAAGAGGCATTGGGCTATTAATGAAATTCCTGAAACAGATGAGGCTTGAGGTGTTTCTTGAAGGTGGAGAGGGTATCTGGTAACCAGACGTGGCTTGGTGGCTCATTCCACCATCGGGGAAGCAGAGATGGGAGCCATGTGGAGTGGCACTTACAGCGTCGTGGGGGAGCTCCCAGCCGCCTCGACATGATTGTGATGGAGCAAAGTGTCAGATCTGTGTGCTGAGTGTCTGCTGTGGGATTCATTCGGTGATTAATTATTTATTAGAGAGTCCTTATTACCATGAAGTAGACTGGAATAGTGACCTAGCATTTTAATCGTGAAATTAGTTTTTTTTTTCTATCTTTAATCCACAACGGTGGTCACTATACCTGGGAGAGTACTTCACAGTTTTCTATTAACTTTTAGTCATAATTTTAGTAAGGCTTGTGCTTAATGGTGGTATTTATATTACGGACTTGGGGACTGGGCATTAAAGATCACATTTGTTTGATGTTTCAGAGATAACTACACCAGAAAGTCAGTCTCTCCCGGGTGATGCAGTTGGACTGTAATACGAAAGTATCTCCCCTGTGAATTGTTATGCAGAAGCATAGAACAAGAGCGGCAGCGCGTTCGTGATAATGATTCAGGCCCGATAAATCTGCGAGACACATTCAGCATTTGCAAGAAGAGGACCCGAGATCATGTGGCAGCTCTGCCGTATGAAAGTGAAAATGTCCTAGCGACACGACCCCCGCAACTGCTATTGTCACGACTTTGATTAAAGAAGTCACCAGGTAACCACGGAGGACTCACAGAAGCATCCTATTCGGTACCAATCCATGTGATCTAGCCGGCAAGTCCCAAAATATCGCTCTGGTCATTAAAGGTATTTTTGAGCACTAATTAGTTCATTTGCAAGAGCTGCTTGCATAGTAAGTGACATTTTATTTAGTAGTTAATGCTCCCATTTTCACTTGATCTGTTGAGAATCTTATAATACTCTGAGGATAAGAGGACGGGATATTTATGGAGGTACCGTAGCGAAAGCTGTGATGTAATGGAATAAGCTGGCTGGGATGACATCATCGGGGTATGGAGTGAGACCCAGAGAAGGGGTCAGTGGGGGTGGAAGCCGTGCTGGGGCCTGCTGGGCCTGCAATGTGGCGTCAGCTTTGAATCACCGCTGAGAATTATTCAGGTTTATTTAAACTGGCCTCCCCCCCCCCCCACGCTGTTCCAGTTATTTATAAAAAAACACTCAGACAAGCAGCAGTTCAGTGACAGTAATCTTCTGCTGGGTCTTCTGACGGGACCAGAGATCATCGTTCTATTGGCCCAGACATAATTTAACCGCTTTGCACTGTGGAGCAAAGTTAACTTTGCAGCCGCTGATTGTCCTCATCAGTGCTGTGGTGGCCGGCAGATTTAGATCTGAATTTGACTCGCTGCTGGCTGCTCTGGCCCCCGGGATAAAATTGACTGCAGTCCTGCTGCCCTCACATTTCCAAGGATAGATTCACCAATTATCGGAGACTTTAAAGGCTCCTCAGCGGGTCTTTTGCTGACTGGAGGAAATCGGTAACTTGTGGGCACCGCGGACTCTCACGTGCGCCGTTCCCACAAAATGGACCAATATCTGCCACGCTGTGAAGGTTCTGCAGCGCGGGAACGGCTGCGATAGGGAGGGAACTGCAGCCCTGGACTGTGCATGACATCCAGGCAGATCTACCTTATTCAAAGTCCTTAGTCTGCAATCTTTTATTGTTTCTATAGAGTTGAAGTTCAGAGTAGTAAGAATAACATTACATATGGTAAAGGGGGGGTGGCTCAGTAGGTTGGCACACACTGCTTCTCATCAGAAGGTTGCTAGTTCAAATCCCAGTGTCAGCCAAGAGATTTCATCTTTGGGGTCCTGACAAAGGCCATTAACCCCCAGGTGCTCCAGGGTATATTTGACCCTGCTTCCTCAATTGCCTTTGCAGGGTTGTTTTTGGCAGGAATTCACAGCATATAGATTGTTTTATGGATGAAGATTAACCGCTGGGAGCGATAGCTGTGTGTAGGACTTATCCCGCAGCATTCCCATTTCAGGAAAATCTGCCCTAATCAATATAATTCTCCCCCCTTGTTGTATGGCAGCCATTTTGATCGCAGTTCCCTTAGAAGTGTGTCTCTCACCAGCCACCATCTAGTTGCTCACTGTGACCACATGGTTCTCTGTAAGTCGGCTTCGTCACATTACTGTAAACCGCCAGCAGAGGCACCACAGACAAGATTTCCTCCACTGTTTAGACCAGGGGCGGCCAATCTTATCTGCAAAGGGCCGGTGTGTATGCAGGTTTTTGCTGCAACTCCCTAATTAGGTCACTAATTAGAGGACTGATTGGCTGAAGAGTCCTCACACCTGGGTTTGAACAGCTGACCTACAGGTAATCCCAAAAACCTGAATACACACCGGCCCTTTGCGGATAAGATTTCCCACCCCTGGTTTAGAGTCTAGAAGCCTTGCTTGTCAAGGAAGCAACACTGTACCTATTCATTGTACAACCCCCTTTCCAAAAGAGTTGGGACGCTTTATAAAATGTAAATAAGTACAGAATACAATGATTTGCAAATTATATAAACCAATATTTAATTTGATATGTTGTCTTTGATCTATTTTCAGTTAAATTTGGGTTTATGTGATTTGTAAATCACTGCTTTCTGATTTTATTTACATTTTACACAGTGCTCCAGCTTTTTTGGAAACAGGGTTGTACCGTAGTGGCTTATTTCTCCAGTTAATGACTATACATTATTATTATTGGGGTTTCCTGATCGTGCAGCTTTAACCCTTCAGTCTGACATTATCTTTAAGTGTCTTTTCTGATCTGTCTCTTATGTTGCCTCCATAAAAAGAAATAAAGTCTCAGTGAAGACATCACAAAAATGTATGTGTACTGTATTTGAACTGGAAATCTGCTGAATATTAAGAAGGATGACAGAAGATCGGTGATGAAACACGGCCTCTGCGTCTGTGGCAGTTAACCTGGTGTATCTGTGTCGCTGGTAATCGGTCTGGCATGTCCTTCCTGTCTGCCGTCATTTTCCTGATATCTGTGCTAATGACTCAGGTATGTCGGAGTCTCTTGTGATTAATTGGCTCCCTCTTTGCCTCCTTGACAGCCCATCCTTTCTCTGGAGAACAGCATTATCATCAAGTTCCCGGAGACTGGGGAGGTGTCTGTCACTGTCCAGGCCTCCAACGGGCGCTCCATGGTCCAGGACACAAAGCGTGTCCGCGTCTTCGGTAAGAAGTAGCTTCTCAATTTCTTTCAAACATACATCAATTTCACTCCGAGCAGCAACTCTTCCTTTTTGATAGGCTTACTTTATCCACCTAAGAGTATCCATGACCAGTGTTTCCCAATCCGATCCTTAGAGACCCACTGTCAGTCCATGTTTTTGCTCCCCCCCAGTTCCCTATAAGGCAGTCTACATTTTTTCTCCTTGTCAGGAGCTGGGAGGAAGCAAAATCCCCAAGGACTGGATTGGGAAACATTGTCCTAGAGTAAAACTCAGCTTACCTTATCCCAGTGACCGATGGCCCTGTCTCATCGGTTGAATATCCATTGGCAATTTAAAATCTGTGAAACCTTAGTGGAAATGTCTGTTCTCTAAGTGTGTGGTATGGTATTCAGTGACGTTTGGCCATCACTCTGGAGAGCACAGAGCCCTGGGTTATGAAGTAGGTTCCACTGACCCCCAGTGGTGTTGTGTTCTAGAACAGTTCCAGGTAATCCCTCTCAGCTTCAGCAGGAACCTTGACCACTTCAACCCCAACATTCCAGAATGGAGAGAAGATGTTGGAAAGGTTGTTACCAAGATCCTGTCCAGGGTACGTTGTCTTGTCTCATGTAGCAGATGCTCTATTCATTATAGATTATATTGGATAAAATGCATGTTCAAGTTGTGAGTACATGGTGCCATTTATGTTCAGATTACAGGTGTTCCCCAAGAGCTGCTGGTTACCATGGTGAAGCCGGGCCTGCCAACGACTGCAGACCTCTATGTTCTGCCAGCGGAGGCCAAGCCAGCCAAGAGAAGTGTGCTCTCGAACAAGGTACATCACTGAACAGCGCTACCAAGCGACCGCTCATTGCACTCCAGGGTGGGCAAGAGAGCCTGAAACCAAGCAAAAAAAAAACACCCCCAAAAAACATGAGATCCACTGCATCAGTGACGAGAGGAAAAGTGTGTCATGGAGATGCAACCAGAGGAGTGTCGGTATCCATTGTTGTTTATCAGCCTGGCCACTAGGGGACCCGTGATCCCCTTCAGGGTCAGGAGGCAAACTTTATTCATTAAATTTTCCCACTTGCCTGTGAAGCCAGCATTGCTCTATGGGAAGTGGCCTAGAATACTGTACATCTGCTTCCAGTAGTAAATGATTCTCAAAGGTCTTGCAAACTATTGGCTCATTTAGACTGAATATTGCTCAAGCTGCACCGAAAAGCTTTTCACAGGCTCTGTATACACAATGTATTCAGCTGAGCAGAGTTTGATGGAAAAGGTTTCTGCATTTCCACATCGCATTTTTTCCTGCATCACGTTAAAACTTGCTAGACTGAATAACTTGGTGATGTTTCCTATACAGTGGATCTCGCCGAAAAAGCACACACATTCTTTATATATGTTCATATTATTATCAGTAGATCCATGCATTTCTTGTATGAATATGCATAGTTTTTCTTAAAGTAAAAGCCAAGACAACAATTATGAGCAGAAATGTATTACTCTAAGTTTAGAATATAAAGAGTCGGAGTGTGACATTCCCATAGACTGCACTACGACTGTGAGCTATTAGTGATATTGCATCATGCAGCAAACTTAGTCAGATTCTTTCTTCTTGTTTAATGGGCTCTCCTTGGGGTGCATTATACACACAAAGGAAGTATCAGTGACAGAAGATAAAGCTCCGTTGAGTTGGACTTACTTGCACATGATTTCATACATTTTAAAACGCCATTCTGTATAATGGGACACCAGTACCCATAATCCTATGCAGTTTAACATGTCATTCAAGATGGCTGTCAGTATTACAGTCAGCACGCACAAGTGGATCTTCTCAGAATGAAAAGGAATGTGGAGGAACACTCACACATGCAGATAGGCAGTGACCCGATTACCCACACTGGCTATTTTAAATCACAACACTGTCTGCTTCCTCTCAATAGCTGATTTTAACTAGTTTGTTAGTATATTATAGAAGGTAGGCCAACTAAAATGAATGAGAAATGCCCAATAAGAAACCACATACTTCAAAATAATTGTGCTTTAAAGACTATTCAATTGCAAGTGCTTTAGTCCTGTCAGCCCTCCCTGCCTTTGACTAGCAGAGAATCCTGTGTCTTCCAGCAGATCCCATCCATCAAACAGGCCTTCACTGAGAACAACGTCAGCTTTATCGTCAGAGGTGGTCTGGTGGTGCTGGTGAGCCTCGCAGAGCCACATGCAGGTAATGGGCCAAGTTAGAGACTTTAGATGCTAAGGAGAGATGTGCAGGGTTACCCTGCTAAAGGATACTGCTCTGTCATCACAGTTAAGCGATCATGTTTATTTGTGTCCCATGATGCTCTGGGGTTGTATAGTTTTGAACAACATGACGTCATATTGAAATACTTCAGATGATAAGCATATATGAACACACCCTACCTTTTCTGCAAACGTATATGAACATATCCTGCCTTTTCTGCAAAACTTATATGAACACTCAACAGAAGAGGTTGTTCTCATAAACTTCCAGTCACTTTTAAAAATGAGATGTTTTCAAATTTTGCATTCTTGTATGCCATTATTTCGAAGCAGAACTGAAATGTTATTGCCGTATTTTTTAGGAAATGCAGTGCAGACTCGTCAGCAGACCCGTCTGTGTACTCCCACAGCTGCTGAATGCTCTTATTTTACTCTGTTTTCCCCTGGATTCACTCTGACCTCCGTTTGTGGTGCAGCTTCCTCCATCTAAGCGTGAACTTGTTATTGAAAATATGATCTTGTCGATCAACAACAGAATGTGGTATTAAAAATATTTAATTTATAGTGAAACTCTTTTAGGTTAATAAGGTATATTTCTTCATGTTTTCTGTTTTCCTTTTCAACTGTTTCTTGACTGCAGACATACCTTCATCTAACTGTCAGTTTCATCAGCGATTGCAGAAAATCACTTTGTGTGTGTGTCTGTGTCTGTGGATTATGTATATATTAAATTGTGGTAAAAACCTGTTATTTTGACATTGTGGGGACCATCTTTTCAGTCCCACAAAGGGAAACTCAATTTTATAAAAATCTGTGACTGCAATCAAAAACCTGAACATGCCAAAAGTCTCATATTGTGTTTGGTTACTTATGGTTAAGGTTAGGGCTGGGTAGGGGTTAAGGTCGTCATTTCTGGGATTAGGGTTTTGCCCATAGAAATGAAAGGACTGTCCCCACAAAGATGTGACTTCAAATGTGTGTATGTGTGTGTTTGTGTGTGTGTGTGTGTGTGTGATTTCCCGTGTACAGATGTGTAAACTGACCTCTGAGTGTTCTCGGCCATATGGCTAAGCTCGAGAGCAGTGTTAGGGGGAGCGGGGGGGGGGGGTTGCTGATTTTCCTGCCCGTCACTGCAGACTCCCTGACTGCCCCTGGGCTGTTTGTGTCACAGGGTCTGGGGGCGACATAGCCAGCCCTGGGATCTGGGCATTAATGGTCTTCCTCATCGTCTGCCTGATCAGCACTGGAAGCTTCGTCCTCTACAAGTTCAAGAGGTAAACCCCATCCTGTTTCATTCCATCCTTTCTCCTCATTAAAAGTATGTATGGGCCGTTCAGGGCCAAAGCCCGAGCTCTTCACTAACCTCTGGTACCATTTAAAACCTGATCTGAGTTGAACCTTAACCACCAATTAGAAGCCATATTCATAGTTTTAGAGTAACTTTTTGTGTGTGGCATTTTGGAAATCTTACTGATTAGACATGTTTAGTGTTTTTAAATCTAGAATTATCCTGTCACACTTTTTGAAATGCTGACTCCAAGACTCACATTTTCACATTTTTATTATTTAAAAATATATGAATGTAAAAATATAAAATGTGTTGACATAATGCTTATCACTTAGGCAGTCTCATTGTCTTATTTTAGAGTTACAGTAGCTTATGCTATAGCAGTGTTAGTGTGTGACTGAACTTTATGCGAGCCTAGATATGAAATTAATTCAAAAATCCATGATAACATTTAGAAAATGTGATATGTAACATTTGTCGATAGTCATTTCAGCATTTCCTCTTGAAGCACTTTGGACTGTTGGGTGCATAAAGCATTATTCATGATAAGGCAGTGGAGTGAAGGTCCTTGTCTTGCTGAAACGCCCCCCCCCCCCACTCATGGACAGACCCTGCCCCCCTTTCAGTCAGCCCTTCTCGGGGTCTCTTTACAGAAAGATCCCCGGGAGGAACGTCTATGCGCAGATGCACAACGAGAAGGAGCAGGAGATGACTAGCCCGGTGAACCACAGCGAGGACACCCAGAACATCATCCAGGGGGAGGAGTTTATCGACGACGACCTCGACTCGCAGACGCTAGGTAACGCTGGAGGTACTCAGCCTTTGACTTCCTAATCTCCTTCCAGCATGTGACAAGTGCCATAGTCCTAATACAATCCCTGCTGCCGTTTCTGTACATTCAGCTGCACGTCCTCCTGAGATCCAGCTATTTATGTTTGCCCTCTGTAGAGGACATTATGGTTTTTGCTTCTATCTCTCATTCTATACATGGAACTTTTTTACGTCCTGTTGTTCCTTAAAGAGGACAGTCAGGCCTATAAGATAGATGACATAATACAGATTTTACAGAGCGGTTAGTCTCTAGTTGTAGATGTTGGGGCCGCTGGCCCCCCTTGATCATGCCACGGGATCTATGTCCCGGTGCTTTTTACCATCCCAACATTAAATGTAAAGAAGATTGTGTGGAAAACATCGAGATTGAAAAACTGTTTTCCCCTGGATTTCCGGAGGATATCGCCGGGGCTGTTCAATAACCCCCCAGCAGCTAGCAGGCGGTCCTCTATGTCTCTGACGTTACCGATGTCTATAGCACAGATGTAGGCCGACACGTATCAGATGGCTGAGTGGCAGATGTTCTCGTCTCCAGGCAACCACTCAGGCGTGGTCCTGAGCATCAACTCCCGAGAGCTGCACAGCTACCTGACCAGCTGATGGTCGCAGGTCGGACGAAGAGCACAGACTCTGCCTACCCTGTGATTTGTTACACCGGTCTTCTCCCAGCTACCCGAGGAGGTCGGGGGGGCCCTGACCCGTCGACACACCACGATGCTACGGCAACAACCTGTTTCTTCCTCTCTCTGTCCGTGTCTCCTCCGTGTCTCGGTCTGCTGTCTGAAAGCAGGAGCACATCCCCCCCCCGCCCCCCCCCCTCCCCCCGCTACTAAGTGGTCTCACAAAGTTCACATGTGTTCTGCCGTGCCCTCTCTTCACCCGCTGTTCCCATTGGCTCTCCACTGATGTGATGTCGTTAACTGTACCCGTGTTCACGGGTTGTGGTGTATATATATTTTTCTCTACTTCCCAAGCTCTTCATTGCGGTTGTGGTCCCCTTTAAGCAGAGGGTGGTAGCATGCGGTCCCAATGCCGCTGTGAAACGGCACAGTGCCTGCCCGCGATTATTCAGCAGCCATCCCCGTTTGTGACATCGAGCACAACGTGCCTCGACAGCGCCATCCAGGGAATGCCAGTGGCAACGTGACGCTTAGACAAGTTTTATCAAACCAGAATTACTGGTCGAAGGCAGACGGCAAAATGTCAGTGCTTCTGAACCCAGGGATGTGCCGGGTAATCTCCAGTTCCGCTCGTCAGTGACAGAAAATGGGCAGATTGGATGAGTAACTTGGCTTTTTGGGGCATCAGCTTGCAAAAGATACATTTATAGATTGATCAGTTTAAACATACATTCATATTATTCATTAATGTATGGTGAGCACAATGCAATGCATAATGAAACGGACATTTTTAAAGCACTAAATTCATTATAATTCAACTAAACTGTGTGGAAAAACAGTGGTACAATGAACATTGTTTACTACTTTTGAACTGTGGAAATGGTGTGCCAAAAACAAGCCTCTTTGGAAGTACGTAATAGCTTTTCATCTACAGGATAACGATTCAGCAGACTGAACATCTGCAGATATATTTTTGTTTGAGACCTCACCCGAGTATAGGGAAGATAATGCAATACACAGTATGACTTGAGCGTGTACAGATGGGTGCAGCACGACATCAGTCGTTTTATGTTGATGTGGAGCGTCACCAAATCTATCCCTTGCTTCTGGCAATAGCTCATAAGCCCACTTGAAAACTACAGGCACTGAGCTCAATGTATCTTTGAATTATCAGTTTCCCCTCCGCACAATAGGTGGCAGTGTTGTCCCATTGTGAGTAGCTCTTGTGAGTGCACCGTTTTTAGCACATTACATGTGCCTATGCATTTACTTTCCCCTACAAACTACAAAAAGGAATACATTGTTTTCTTTTTTTTTTTTTTTTACAAGACACATTTGAATTTTACATTTATTTATGTTTTACTTAGTAAATTGACTGAGTGATATTTTAGTTTGTCGTGATTTTAGTCAATAGCCCTTTCAAAACAGCTTAGTTCCATGGTGCCTCAGTAATCATCGTCTGCAATATAAAATGCATTTATAGCTAACATAAGTTGGCGGGGGGGGAAAAAAAACTTTTTCAAATCTTTTCAAATGAACAATCAATTCATTTCAGACCCAAAGGTCAGAATGCATTTAGGATGAGTTTGCGGGTTTACATACCTTGTCTACCCCATACTCCTAGAGTTGTGGCGCTCACACAAGGCTATGGTGTCGTCAAGCCTATATTAGGCTATGCAGGAAGTAGAGTTCCCTTTAATTTGGTTTGTTCATGTATAAGAAATACTTTGTAAATAATTATTCATAGAGCAACATAATACTTCACACAAATACCAAATTTGCACCACTTTTGGATGTTTGACACCAGAATATTCAGCACTTTCATGAAACACGTTAGTCACTATTTTTTGGTTTTGTCATCGTTCACATGTAGGATCTTGCAGGTTCCCACAAAATCCAAGTATTTTGGCCCTTATTTACTCATGTTCTCTCACCTGTTTGAAGTTGTCTAAATCGTCTTGTCGTTTCGTAGATCAGCTCAGCAGCGGCAAAAATATTTCCGATGGCTTTTGGTCACGTGACACGCTGCCTTAGTATGTGGCTGATGTCATCGTCTTAAAATGCTCACAAGACAGGGTCCTCGTGCCACTTTGTTGTGCGAAACTACAAGAGGATGCACCCTGGGACAGGAGAGTCTATCTCATGACGTTGTTGTGTGCAGTAATGAGCCAGTCCATCCCAAAGGGCGACAGCACAGACAATATGAGTACTGCACTGTACGGTCAGACACGAGCATTCTCTGGTTTCGTGAGCCCACTGTGAATAGAGCAGAGCCGCTTAGTCAGTCTTCGTCGTTAGTTTGAAGCACCGTAGGCTGGTGAGCCTCAGCATACCGGCAGCCTCTGAATTGCACTAACCCCTTCATTTGGACAGTAAGATTTCGCACATGGTCTGTATGAACTCCCGCTCGCGTTGGGTCCAAGCAGCCTTTATCTCAGTCAGTGGTGGGTTTGCCTGATTCAATAGAATCCAGTAGTTTGTTCCTTTAGTTTTTGCTCCTGTTGAGCTCTTAATTAATGGTGTTATGAACTTACAAATACATTTGTCTTAACTGAGAAGTACACGTGTAGGCCACTGTTGAGGAAATATGAAATAAAACCTACAGTTTGTTTCTCAAGTATTTCATTCCTACTGAATTCTAAAAATAGGAAATAGCATTGCTTTTAATTACTTTATCTTAATTATAAAGGATTAAACATATGTAAAACAATGATCACATATCAACCCTGCTCCTGGAGATCTACCACCCTGCAGAGCTTAGGTGCAGCCCTGATTTAACACACCTGGCACAGACAATCAGGCCCTTCAGCAGTATCTCAGTATTAGAGCCAACTTAGCTGTAACATAGCTGACTCCAATACTTATCTGTATTAGGTGTGTTAAATCAGGATTGCACCCAAGGTAGATCTCCTGGAGCAGGGATGGTGATCACTGGATTATACTGTCACAGATATTCCTCAACTATAAGTTTTAACAAATAATTTTGAAAGATAGCATGAACGATTTAGCCAACAGTTAAATTAAGAGCTCACCTACGAACAGTCACACTGTCCAGCCTGCAGGTTCTGGAAATGTCTGTCCCTGTCGTGAAACTTCTTTTATGAAACAAACTACTGAATATGCAAAGAATGACCGGTTGCATTAAAGGTCATGTATTTTTTTTTTTATAATTATTTAATTTAATAGCGTGGTTTGAGGCTCATTGTTTAGGGCAGCTGACGGCCTGGGACAGTGTATTCCAGTGAGCCAGTTGCTCATTGTTTAGGGCAGCTGCCGAGAGCTGACGGCCTGGGACGGTGTATTCCAGTGAGCCAGTCCCCAAACCACAAACCATAACCCTGACACATTGATGTAGAAGAATGGCTGAATGTGACCAAACCCCAGCACTAGGTCATGGTGGTTCGATAGCTTCGATTCAGGTGTTCTCTGCACTTGCCTTAAGAGAAATAAGTATTCATCTCGCTCCTTCTGGTTGTGTTCAGTATAGTTTCAGTACAAGTCGACTTGCCACGGGCAACGATCCACAACTCTGGGCACGTTTTTGTACATAAGGACGCTCATGTTTGCTTGTTCTTAGTTCTTTAGTGTTGTGGTGTCTGTAAAATGTTTATTTGGGGGGGGGTAGATGACAAAAACTATATTTGTGGAGGATATTCATTGTTGAAACAAAATGTGTGAACCTGACATTTCATGGGAAATGTTTTCAGTAAATGTTTGAACACTCAAAATGTACCGATACATACTGAACCCTTGGGATTAACTGCACCCATAACTGTATAAGTTTGTTCTAATAATTTGTTCTGCTCAATAAAAACTAAACATTCTTCAAGAAACTAAAACCGTGGTCACTGTGTCACCCACAATGCAAAAGTAACCTTATTGCCCAATCGTGAAACATCCTTAAAACGACTTCATTACATTAGCTGAAATTCTCTTACTCACCAGCAGGTGGCAGTAACTGATAACTATCAAAGGATTGCCATGTGTAATAAAAATGTAGTATGTACCGAGTGAAACTATAGATTTACAGTGAGAGGCAGCTGGCCGCTCTAATAAAAGCAGCAGGTCCATCTCCAGAGAGTTTCTCTGAATATGTAAGCCAAACTATGTCAGTTACATCAAGCTGAGATAAAAACAAGATATGCCATTATTTTTCAACAGCCTAATTATTACATTTCTGAACTTGCAGTTTTGCCATCGGATCATTTAAATGCCGCCAAGAGAAAGAGGCATATTTAACAGGAAACATGTTTTAAAAGTTTAATATTACATACAGGTGTTCTCCGCCAAGTCGGGGACTGTCCTAGAGCAGTACACATAATACAAACAGTTTTAAGGTGCAAAACAAACACTGCTGATTTCTTTTTTTATTCCTGTCTCCCCCCACCACCCCCCACAAAACAAACCACAACTATTTACATATATGTTCACATTTTCTGCCATCATCTGTCTCTCCTCTTTGGGATGATAAGGACCTTCTGAATACCCATCCTCCTTCCTCTCACAAAGGTCTCTTTACATTGTTAGCATAGGTCAAGAGGGCAGAGGAGGCTGGGAAGGAACCCAAAATAGGAATTTTTAGATTTTGGGTGGAGATTTAGAGGATTCATCAGACACCCCTCCATGCTGGGGCTGGACGGCTGACGGTGACAAGCTAATAGAAGTTTTACTTGCAAAAAGATGTTCGGAGGACAGAATGAAAAATGATTGGTTCAGAGAGATAACCAATCAGATTGTAGAGGAGATGGGTCCAAGCAACTATAGGAGGCAGGACCAACCAGTCACATGTCGTGACCCTGCCTCTGCTAGTTGCTTGGACCTAGACTCACCTCCTCTACAATCTGATCGGTTATCTCTCTGAACCAATCATCTTTGAGTAAGTACAACTCCCATGAGCTGAGAATGAGCTGTCCTGATTCGTCTGCCTCAGGGTCTCACGTGTGATGATTCTGCTCCATCTTTCCCAATCCCTTATGAAAATGGTGTGCAACAGCTCCAGAATCCTGGGGCTTAATGCAACTAACAGCAAGTCAGATCAAATATTTACACATCTTTGTATTTTTGTCTAATCTTCAGCTGCTATGCAAAACCTTGAATTATGTTTCCTAACACACTTGTAAGCAGGCCATTTGTAAAGAACTTCATAAAATATGAGTAATGAATTCTTACTTCCAACCTCCAGCAAAAAACAATTTCAGATCTAGAGATCTGTTTCACAACCCTGGATCAACTTTAATTAAGTTTAAGTGAAAACCAGTCTTAAGTGATTTGGAATTACTATCGAGGCAATACTTGGCATTAATACTGAGTTTTCATTTCGGACAAATGCTTTACAGAAGGCATCAGGCAACCAGTTCTGTGCATTTGAGCTTTTCTAGAATGCAAGATATAGTTTATATTACAGAAAGTTAATTATGAGTTTAGCTGGAAAAGACGTCAGCGCCTACAGCTGTTCTCTGGGGAACTGCTTCGGAAACACGTCTGTAAAGCAAAGCAAAGCCTCCTGGGCCATGATGACGTGAGAAATCGATTCCCACTGTCTGAGACGACCTCAGGCTCCAACCGTTTAAAAATGAGCACCACTTTTGTGAAATACACGTTTGATTTTGCTTTTTATACAGTACTTCTACATTTGACAGTGTATTGATGTATTTGGAATGTGCCAGGACCATGTCAGCCTTCGCCCAATGCCTGTGGTTAAGGCAGCTGAATGTCAGCACATACAGTATGCTTGGGCTATCCTCCAGGAACCCCCAGACCACCATTTCCATGTGGTCATATAAGCCTGGAAGAACCCACCGCTAAGCCCGGCCTAGGCTAGCGCCGAGAGCTTATTCAGCTTCAGACCTGACTCAGCCTGGGGTTCTGGCTGGAATCCAGAACTCTCATACCAAATAAATTAGGTGGGGAAGCATCGTGACCCAACTCCACAGCGGGTGGTTGAGCATAAAGAACTTTTTAGCCCCAACATCAGACCGGGCTATGCAATAAGAACCAAACTTATTCTAACTGGTTCTGTCCTCCACCCACAAATACCAGACCCCTGTTCACAGGAAAGCATGTGACCACCTCCCCCCAGTCCATCTGATGATTGGTACGACCCAGTGACTGTCTTTTTAAAGAACACCACAGGGGAAAATGAAGTATGTACCTCAAGCGTGAGTCATACTTCTGTGGGAGGCCAGATCTAATGTGAAAACTATGAATGTTTAAATACCAATATAAATAATAAAGGCAGGCTAATATTTACTTAAACATTTACAAATAAATATTCTGATTCCCGTTTAAGTATCTTGACTAGATTTAGTTTAGCGAAGGCTGACGAGATCAACAGTTCAGCTCTATCGGTGAGGACATCGCCCTCTAGGGGCCACCCTGGTGTACTCTGCTTGTGGGATGTGACCACACGTGCCCGTACAGCAAACGGCAGAAAGACAGTAAGCAAAAAGGAGCAGAAGTAATGTAACGTAACGTCTCAGGTCTCCTCATCCGCCATCTGGACTGTGCTTTCCTCGTTTCTCCTCCAGAACCCGGTTCACATAAATATGTACACGTGTGGAGACGGCGGAGATGGGTGTTGGCTTTATGTCCCAGTTTTCATCTCCCACTCCTGTGAAGGAAAAGGGGGCGCTAGTGAGATTTTGTGCCAGGCAGCAGTTGAGATGGGGGGTGAACATTACATTCCTTTTCCCCTCAAAGACAAGGCTGGGTCCCTGAAAAATTCTACTAATTGCTGCCCCCCCCCCCAAACCAAAGCTACCATTGTCCATGTTCACATACTCATGGGCTCCCCCTAGTGTCCGGGCCCCTAAAAGTCTCCCTTTTCCTTCTTCTTCCTTCTTCCCCCTTATGGGCGGCCCTACCCCTGACCCTGAATGTAAAACACCCCAAAGCAGGCAGACTGACCCAAGCGTGGGCAGAATCACCAGAATCGATCCACACCGGGTCCCCCGGTCGGCCTACTCACCTTGGCCTTCTGGAGCACGTGTCCGCGCACGGGTGGCACCTTCTGGGACGACTGCCGGCGCAGCAGGGAGGCGCTATTCACTGGGAGGGGGCAGGTATCTGTGTCACTGGTGTCACAGCTGGAGACTGGCGAGTTGTCCATTGTTCGCCGAAGCGTCACTGGGGACTGCAGTGGGATGTAAGGGACACTACTGTAAAGAGTTATCCAGGATAATACTATATATGAGTATACTATACTCGAGCACAAGGAAGTACACCGCACTGTACAGTGGTGCAAATCTTCAGTGCACGGCATGGTAACTTAAAGTAATAATCAATTACCTAATTCACCTGATCTACGTCACAAAAGTGCAATGAAATAGCATCGATTTATCAGCACTGACACATCCTAAAAAAAGCACCAACAGAGACTCTCTCCTCAGGCAGCTTTCCCAGCGGGACGGCATGGCGCGCAAATATCGAGACAGAAAACCCACCAATTACATTTTGGTCTGAAATGTGGAAGCAATCTGGGCTCCCTGTAAAACGTGTGCATGGAAAAACTGTTGCGGCTTGAAAAAAAACACGCAGCCTAATTCAATTACTCCTGGGATAGTTATGGCTACCTGGAATTTACATATGAATTTACGTTCTGCCATTAAAGTTATTTTCGCGAAATGCAACGGACTAACATCACATGCTTTACCGGTTACTGTGATGCAGGCTGTTACTCTCTTTAATACTTAAATATCAGTATTATTAATATTCTTTGTTCATGGTCACATGACATCTTAAATGTATTGTAAAGTTCACTGATAAACTGCTTGGCTGTATGCCGTTTACTTTGCTATTCTGTTTTTCGCTGCTGTCATTTATGATCCATCAAGTTGGCTGTGTATAGCAATAACTGGACGAGGACCTGGGGGCTGGACGTCCCGGACTTGGGTTCGATGGTGAGGCCCAGGGTGATGCCCCCGTTCATGGCCTTCTTCAGGCTCTCCTTGACCTCGGTCAGCTCCAGCTCCAGGTTCACCCTCTCCTCCTCCTTCACTTTGCACTCATCCTCCACCTTCTTCAGCTTCTCCGCCAGCGTTGCCTGGGACCGCTTGCCTGGGACCGGGCATCGGGGAAAAGCGGGTCACCATCCTGCTTCTGCGTGAGTGTTTGACGGCTCCATCAGAGGCCACCCCCGGCCCCTCCCTCGCCCCCACCTGTGTTGGTCTCAATGGCAGCACGCAGGTCTTTCCTCTCCTTCTTCAGCTGGGTCAGCCGGTTGCGGATGTCCTGCTTCCTCTTCATCATCTCTTCCTCCTTGGCCTGCAGCCTCTTGGCGTCGGCCTCTACGCGGTTCTTCCCGTACTTATACTGCTCGGCGCCTTCGGTGGGGGGAGGATCAGGGATGGGTTGGGGGTGAAGAATGAGGATACGCTTAAATTCAGCAGGTGTTTGGCACACATATTTGTGCACATCATAAAACACACATCTTAAAAAAAAACTGAATTTTAGACCACCCATGTATTTCTGAGCCATAACCTGTAAATCTAATATACCCTGATTACAAGCGACACAGACCTATTAATCAAGTCCACTGCTAAAAACCCGACACGTTTTATCATTGTGTAGCTTCTGAAAAGCCTGCCTGTGCAGAAGGTTGGCCTGCGGGCGATGGCTTTACCAGAGTGCCGGCCTGCATGCCACATCCCTGCTCCTGCAAGGGCTATAATTTCACATTCCGCCGTCATCCACATTTCTGTGGATTTTCCTAGAAAGCAATTGGCGGCTCCCTAAACTGAACGCCCAGCCTAGACACTGTGTCTATGCCTCCTCAGCATTACGAGCTGCTTCTCCCCTCGCGTGAACCCGCCGTGGTCGTCATCATTATTATATTTATGAGTGAGGAGGCGCGGATTCTGGTTTAGCACTTACTGGAGTTGGTGCGTTTCACAGGTAGGGTACCGTTCGGCTTCTTGGGCTGATTCTTGTCCAGCTTCTGCTTGGCCGCCGTCCCGTTGATGATTGGGCCTTTTTTTCCCTTCAGCTGATTGGTGGAGAGAGAAGGGCAGATGAGAAACCACACTGCCACCGTAGCGAATCGGGAGTCTGATTCAACAACACGTGAACATTGTGGGGAGGAGCCAAGAGCTGGTACACATTAATTCATGAGAAAAGCTTTGTTATAGTTCTATGTAATGTATAGTTTTTATAGCACTTTTAAAACAGTTTTAGCACCATCAGTTCATTGGTTGCACATTTCTGGAAGGGTCAACTAAAATCTGGGGGGCCCTTAGACCGACTATGGGTGTGTCTGGAATTGGCATTTTTCTGAAGATGTGATGTCAGAGCTTCCTCAACCTAAATTCCTACAGACAGAGTGAAAAGTGTTAAGGAAAGCCCACAGTAAAATGAAGAATCTGGGAATGCTACCCATGGACCGAACTCACTCTCACGTCTCGACCAAATGCGCTCATGCCATTTCTACCGTAGTCAAACCTTAAATGCAAATGTTTGTTTTCCTTCTCCTGCCATCTTTTATCTGGAAATAGCTTGAAATGTCAAGAAAATTTATGGATGCCTTAATCCAGTTCTACCCCCAGACTCTCTAACCAGGCTATTTCAGAATGTCAACACAATTGGTTAAAAGCTGTGTCATCAAACAGTTAATGGGTTTTATGCAAAATGCATGGAATTAATTTTTAGTGGTTTTCAGTAAATCCTATAAAAGCAAAAAAGTATTAAGTCTAAACCGCCACTTTTCTTGGTTTTAGTGCATCTGTTTCTGAAGAAGACAAGCAGTCGTTAGTTCAAAATGAAAGTGTTTTGTGACTAATATCCTCTGCCTCCACAGCTAGTCTTGCTCTGTAATTTATGAAATACAAAATCCACTGTTTTTCCACTGAGCTAAGCCCAGGGAACCATTTAGTTAAGCTACTTTATATTTAGCTAATACCTCTGAATCTAACCAGCATTCCTGTGAGAGTTTTTAGCGTTACGTCGCTAATCTTTTTTAGCGAGCCAGCCCTGTGACCGTGCCGTCATTTACAGTACGTCACCAGTCGCAGTCAACACCAAGCTAAGAGTTCCCAAATGTAACGGAAAAACTAAATAAATCCACTCTGGATTTATCCTATGCTTGGCACAGTGAAGGAAAAACAGCTCCCTTGTACAAGCTCTAGCACCCAGCTCCAGCAACCTCTGCAAAGTACGCTAAGCTTATTAGGTAATGTTTGAGTTCCCGCTCCGAACCTCGCAGGTGGCGTGTGACATCTTTCGCAAAAAGAGTCCTGTCAGGGGTTGAGTAATCGGCGCTGAGGGAGCCCCCTGTGCCAACACGCCTGGGCAACCACACATTAAATACACGCCGCATTCCAAATTACAGCCACCACAGTCTCACGCTAAGGGATTTGCCAAAACCGGGGGGAAAAATCCCCGGGAAATCTCAGGGACGGACATGCTGGTTTTACAGTATGAGTTATGCTACTACACGCTGAACAGTGCGGCAGAGTGTAATTTGTGCATTAAATCTGGGTCCCCCTGGGGGCCTGATAATTCACTGCGCTGTGTCGTGAGGACAGGTAGGCCAGACGCTGTGCTATTGGCAGAGTGGCAGGAGCGTTAATCACCTGAGCGGCCGTGCTGCGCCCAGACATGGCAGTATTAGTGACAGGAGCCAGAGAGGAGGAAGAGGAGGAAGAGGAAGCTCGAGAGGAGAGGCTCCTGGCTGAGACGGGCGTTTTGTAGTGGCTGGCAGAGGTGGCGGTACCACCAGGTTTGGGAGAGGAGCGGGTGGCCAGCTTCGGGGACGGCACATTCTCGTAAAGGTCCACATTCTCATAGAAGGCCTCCTCCCTACCGGGGCGCCTCCCAGAGGTGGGGGAGGAGTATGCGGCCTCCGGCTCCTTCAGAGGGAGACCCAGGAGGAGAAGGTGGACAGGGTTAGAGAGGTGTTAGGGGAAACCAAGCGGGACAGAACAGCCAAAGCTTTGTTAAACAACTGGAAGTTATGAATCAGAGCAAGAGAGAAGGAATGAGAGACGGACGTTGGTGATGTTTGTCAGCAGTGGCACGTTATATGCAGCAGGTGAAGAAATCAGAGGAATGAAAACAGCACACGCCGGCCTTACCTCACAAATATTCATCAACCCTACGACTCCTGGCTGTCAACATGCATTCACTTGTGCTGTCACGTATTAGATCTATCGTAACCAGAAACTAAAGGAAAACCTTCGCTATAATTTCTACACAATGCTCACCTTTATTAAGTATTTTGGGGCCATATGTATTTGTTTATATGATTTTTATTAATACCTATAATCCATAACAAACTAGTATCTAATTATGTAATGCTTGGTAAGACACAGGGATAAGATTAGAAGAGCATGTGACACTGGTAGAGCATCATGGGAAGATGGACAGGTAAGCTTACCGTTCCATTGATGGGCACATCATCGTAGTGTAGCGCCACTCCGGAAGGACAGGCATAGCCATTGACAGGATTGTCCAGGTACGGATTGGGCGACACCGCACGCTTGCTGGTAAAGCTGGTCACACGCAAACAGGATAGGAGATCACAGTTAAACATGATGCCAAACACAAACACTACAGGCAGTTTACATACACTTTTGTACTGAGATTGATCATTCATCAACAATGTTAACTGCCCTCCATGTCACCTCTATCAAATATCCAAAAATACTTAAGTCAGCAGAGGCTAGAAAAAGCCTGACAGCATGATGTACATCCTCCTTGCCATGTAGTCCGTAGCCACTTTCTCCCATTAACTATCAATCCAGCCTGGCTGAAAGGTTGGGAGGGTTGATGTCCTCTGACAGGCACTGAAATAAACACCCCAAAAGGTCCCTTTGGGATCATTCAAACAGATGCTACAGCCCAATAGCATTGGAATAGTCTGGCTGCTCTGGGAAGTAGGTTTTCTTTCAGTTATCTGCAACATGTCCAGTGTGAGCAGGAAAACCTACCCTCTATAAGCCTCAGCAAGTTGGTCAGCCTGCACAAACACTTTCTCCATTCTTTTTCCTCCAAAGGAACAAGTATATAGCAGGTCTACTTTACTCTTTTGAGAAGTGTATGTGGGATTTTCATTCCAAAATATCCATGTAAGTCACTAAATATGCATTAACCTTCACTGGAAAAAAAACAAGCCATACTTCTATAAACATAAAGGCTTTTCTGACTCTTCCACAACTTATCTGAAGTGGTTTTACTTTTTTCCCCAAATGCAGACAGAAAGAGTCACTTGCTCTATAAAGCATAATTAATTCATTGATGAGGTCTGGCCTAGAGCCTGCAAACATCGTGGGCTGGCTAAACAAGAGCTGCTACACCCAGAATTCACTAGCAGTGTCAAAACTTTACTTTTTTTCATTTGAATGAATTTGCTATGCTGAGTGTATATGGTAAGTGGTGTTTCATAGGATTTTTCTTAATAGGTTAAATTCACCTCTTGCAGTAAGACAGATGTAGAAAAAGCTAAAGAGTAAAGTGCAGGATTCGTGTATAAATCAATCATCTGCTGCCTGGGGAGGTTGTCTAATTCCCTCCCCTTCCGCCCCCAGCTCCACGCCAGAGGGATCTGGGAGCTCACCAGAATGACTGCTTGGCCAGCTGGATGACGTTGGCGGTGGTCTCCACGTCGATGTAGTCATAATGCAGTGCAGCAGGATCCGTTGTGGAGCCCGTCTCAGCCAGGAGGACACCCAACCAGCGGCCCATGTTCTCAGAGGACGATGCCTAAGAAACAAGAATTCAACATTCTAGCAATCTAATGCAGTGTCTACACGATGGAATTCTTCCTATGTTCACTCCTGCAAAGGCTACAAAGTAATGAGAAAAATAATGAGAACATAAAATAGCCCAGTAGATACAATACAACCATATAAAATATACATTGGTGCAGGGCTTCGCACTTTTGCCTTGCACCTCTGGGAGCCGGGTTCGAGTTCGGGTTGCTTCCTGCCTTGCACCCATAGTTTCAGGGATAGACTCTGGAGCAAACTCCCAACCCTTATTAGGAGAAGTGCTGACTGAAAATGGATGGATGGATATTCATCATACATAAAAATATTAAAGGAAAAAAAAAGTAGCTAATAGTGTAAAATATACATATGAATATCGATAGAGAATGTGCAGCATCTGGTACATATCAGGCCACTACGACATAAACTATACACATCTAAATAAGAGGGTGTGACAGGGGTTTGTAGGGTGGGGGCAAATGTAGAGAACTTTGGAAGGGAGGGAAGGAGAAGGAGGAAATAGGGGAAGAAGTCATCAGGAAAAAGGGAGAAATGAAAACGGCCAAAGGACTGCAAGACAAAAGCGTTTAGTGGGCTAAAAGTGGAGTTGAGTAAAAGTTAAGAAGAGTGAAACCGGAGTACGAAACAGGACATAGAGAGAAAGCGGTTTAAAGGACAGGGTGAGAGAGAACAGAGGAAAACTGAGAAGGACAGAAAAACAAACTCCACTTCAATGGTGGCCACAGAAACCACATAACTCGAGTGAGCTGTGCTACAAGTCGGCACCAAGAAGAGAGGCCCCACTGTCATTACCCATCCTAGTGGTGGACATCTGCCTCGTCGCGGGTACATTCAGCGCTGCGGCTCACGCCCCTCCCATAATCCTCCAGCTGAACAGCTAAGATTCCTACTGCACGTATCCCCAACCACCACATCTCAACCAGTGGTGAGACGGCACTCGAGAGTCCGTCAGCGAGGTGCAGCCATTTGGCGCCGAGTGGAGAGGGGGGATCAGTGCGGCCGGGGAACATAAATCGCTCTGACATATGCGGAGAAGAATAACCATTATGACACGACTGAAACGTCTGCAGTGTAGTTTTTCAACCCATGGAGGAATGTGGCCTATGTGGTATGAACAGGCTTTCCCAGTCAGAGACAGAACTAGGAGTTGGTGGTCAGGGGGCTTCAGATCAGACCAAGGTATAAGGGTACCTACCTCGAGCACAGCCACCTCCTGACCGTTGCGCAGCAGTCGGAAGGCGAAGGGGTGCTTGGAGTCCAGCCCGGGGATGACCTCACAGCCCCGCAGCGGCAGCGAGGCCATGTGGCTCTTCAGGTCGGCCCGGTCCTTGTGCAGAAGCAGCTGGTTGTCCTTCAGCCGGCACCAGCGCTCCCGCCAGCGGTTGTTGGACAGGACGTTCAGGTACCCTGTCAGTCATCAGGGAAATCAGCCACTTACACGTCTTAGAATGATTTATCCAGCCCACTGGGTGCTATAAATGGCTGACAGCAGCAGAGTAATTGAGACTCCCATATCGAACAGAGCAGTGCAGTGGAGAGGAAGTGTTTACGTGAATAATCACAATGAAAGGTGAGGCAGTGGACCAGTGTTTCCCAATCTGGTCCTTGGGGACCCCAAGTTCCATATTTTTGCTCCTTCCTATGTCCCGGTACATGGACTATCTGGGGGTTCCCCAAAAACTGGGTTGGGACTACACACCCTCCTCAGACTCTCCCAAGGCCCCCTACCACAGGTGGGGACATCTTCTTCTGCTGAGGAGGTCTGCTCGTCGGTTGATGGCTTCTTCTTCCCCAGGCTGATGATCTTGGTGATCTTCTTCCCTGTCACCTTGCCCACGGCACCCTTCTGATCCACCTTGGCATTCTTCTTCCCTTTAGCTGATGCGTGAGACAGGAGCATGTGAAGGACAGAAGACAACCAGGGTGGTGTGTGGTTCAGCAGGTTAGGACAGTCCCAGGTCAGAAGGTTGTTGGTTCAAGTCCTGTGGCCAGCAGGGTGATGGCTGACTGTTGGGCCACAGAGCAATGGCCCAAACTAAACCGCTCCAAGGGTGCTGGATAAATGACTCTGTGATCTGACCCCAAGCTGCTGACCACAGCATTTGAACTAGCAACCTTCCGATCATGGATACATCAGCCTAGCCTTCTGCACCATTTGCCAAGTGGGACATGCAAAAACCTTACACACATGATCCACATCATTCCCAACAAAAGAGTGAAGCTGCTACAGGTACATCCAGAAGTCAGAGCAGTAATGCTGATCCGGTTGCACCATCATTCGGATTCTGTTGCAATCATTCATAAGGAGAGGATCTTCTGGACAGCACTGACCCTACGGGCGGGCCTTTGGGTGAGCGGTGGGCCAATGGGGTGGCAGGATCAACACAGCATTCAGTAAGGGCTGCCTTTAGTCGTTAAATCAGCCATCTCTGCTACCTCACACTGATACCAGTAAAAAGCATGGAGTCTTGCCCTGGGTCTTGTGTTTGCCACATGTATCAAATGGGACCAAAGGACTTTCTTTAGCTTGTATACTTTACTGATTTAAACGACATGCATACAGCTATAATCAGAGGTCTCTGGCTTCTGAACAGAGGGAGATGCTATGGAAGCTTCAGGACAACATATGGAGCTGTGTCAATACATGATTCAGGCCTGGCGGGTGGCTTCCAGGAGCCGACATCCTGACAGGATTAAGCAGACAGGACACGCCTGCTGTCGCCTTAATGTGCGAATCTGCAGCCATTCCTACATCCTCCTCCCATTTCTGATGCCACGCTGTCCAGTCATAAAGAAGAAACCAGACCCACATATGTAAAAATGCTTGATCTGTAAGGGGAAAATGTATGATCTTGCTAATTTAAATCCAACAAATTGGAACAGTTACCAGCAATGGAAAGTATGTCTATAATCAGAGAATTATCCCAACCAAGAGGGGGGTCAGCAGGCCTACTTCTGAACAAGTCCAGGCCCACAGTGTTGGCCTGGTTTGCTGGTGGCATGCAGGTTTGGAAGGCAGGCGCATGTGGTGCAGAGTGGAGATAAGAGATCCGTCATTGGTGATGGAAAAGTGCTACCAGACTCTCTGGAATCTCAGTCTTTACACATGGGGATATAAAATCTTCTCAAACTCTATAATTATCTGCCCAGCTCTAACAGACATGGTATGTCTGTGGGAAAGTCGAAATACTTTCTGAATATCTGAATACTCCAAACAACAAATAATCCAGGCAAACCCTATCCAACTAGCTAGACGGTTTTGTTTACTCGAAACCACAGATCTACCTTCCGAAGTGATAGACCATTATTTTCAAGTAATTTAAGAAAAGTATAAAACACCATTCAAAGTGGATAGATGCAGTATTTTTGATTTAGCGACCCATGCAAGGCTAGATTTCAGTGTAGCTGTGAAATTTACTTCAGACACTGCAAGCACAGAACAGGCCATCTTGATAAGAGCAAGGGCTCCGGATTCCTGAATGCTGAGGACAGCACTTTCAGCCTGTTAAACTAAACTCTAATCCCCACAGAGGACCGCCCCTCGGGCAAATAAATTCTAATGAAATCCCCTGACTTTTCAGTGAGGATCATGTGTGGATACTCTTTGTTTGATTCTGGCACTCCTAGAATAAAAAAAAATAACTTTTTTTTTAACTTGAAGCTGCCCCAAATTCTACAAGAGGATTCAGTCGTGTTACCAGAAAGTGGTACTCTAGACACCCACATGCCAAACACTGGGAGCTACTGACATCAGGAAGTACACTGGTATTTTATACTGGTATTGATAGTTCGTCTTGAAGCAACAGGAAGTGGAATCAAATAAGCCATGAATGGACGTCAGTGCTTTGTAAACTCCAGAGGTTTAATGTATGACCAAACTATCACAGTCCTGTAATGCCATTGACAGGTTTCACCCACGCTGCTTAACCATAAGAATAATCTTTGAGGAACAAAGGACAGCTTACTCTCATCACTATCTCTTACGGTTCTCCATGCGACGCCCTGCTCACAGTCTCGTACTACAGGAATTACCTTGCTCTTTGGTGTCTGTCGTTCCATTTTCATGGTTCCACTCGCCATCAGAGCTGGGTTTCTCACAGGATAGCTTCTACAAGAGGAGCCAGATCTCAAGAATTACAACACTGTCCTTGTGTTTACAGAGTAAAACACCCAGTGTTGAATTAACACCGGCAGTGTTCATGAGTGCAACTGGTTTCAAATGAACACTGTAAGAGCCTAAAAAACATTGTACAAGTTAATGCTGGATTTTTGCTGGACACACACATACAAAGGTAAATGGCACAGGAACTGTAAAAAGTAATTATGAACCAACAGGTCTGGAATCTGAAAATTATTCATTTCTGGGATGTCACTGGATATTTTAAAAGTATTGCTTTCTGTTAAAATATGCAGTTTTACTACAGACATCAATCTAGTGGTCAATATCCTGTACAAATTTTTTGTAATAAAGCAGTATTTGAAATCTTATAAACTGATATTTTAATAGTCAGGCCGCTGGTCGGTGTGGTTTCTAAACCTGGCACATTGCAGTGGATCTTGGGCTTTAGCCGAGGACTCAGTACTTGCCTTTTCTAGCTCAGTTTTGTGGACTGGCGAGCCAGATCCCACCCCATCACAATCAATGGCTCCATTGCTGCACACTTCCTTCATAACCTTGAGCACAGAAAACCAGTGTTACTATGGCGCCTGAAGCCCCTAGTCCTAGTCCTGGTTCCGGTCAGCTAGTGTCCCGGTTTTCACAAAGTCATCTTGAGAACGGATGCAGCTCATGATGCAAATGCAGGAGGGATCTGGGCCAAAAGGAACAACTAGCTGCCCAGGACAAAGACCTGGACCTCCATCCAGTAGAATCACACACTATCACTTTCGCATCCATACTGTGACGACATTCAGCACCACTTTAAGCAGCCACGCCATCACTGGCCAAAGGATTACGCACAGCCTGCACACAGCACGGCGACAGTGGGCGCTACGGGCTATATTAGTAGCAGTCTCATGGGAGCGCAACGGCTAATCATCGCAAATGAATGACTCTGCCACGTTGTGTGGGTGGGGCACAGGCAAGCTTGACTGATGCAGAACTGAGACTTTGAACCTAGAGCCCAGGATTAGAAGTTCAGCTCCTTCCAAAAACCTAACAGTCATCAAGGCCAGCTATGTCACAAGAGGTCAGCAAGGGACAACTGCGCATTCTTCAAAGTCTTGGGCACATCCCAGAGCAGAGCCACCAGCAAACTACAGGGCTGCGAAGGCCTTCTCAGCATTGTCAGTAAAAGCTGCCAGTTGGTTTTGGCTCATATTGATGCTGAAACTAATAGACCTTGCAAGGAAATTACAGCCACTGGGCCTGTGGTTTGGCTGACATCATAGCCAGGCCTGGTATGTACCAGTGCTCAGCCAGTTTGTGGATCTGTCCTCATTCACATGAAACCCCACCTCCTCCACTCTCTAAGTGTCCTCACTATTGATCTCGTGAATTTATCCCCAATCATTAAAGTTACTTTGGGAGTACAGCCTTCTAAGAGGAACCCTTGGCTGAGTGGCAGATTAGGGATTTGGAAAGTCAAGAATGCAAGTCGCCTTGGTACCAAAAGCTGTAGGTTCAAATCCCAGGAGTCGCAAGCCTACACAGACTCATGAAACGTCTGGCTGAACCATGCATAGATTTGATAAGGCATAACCCAAAAAGTGACTTTACCAGAGCACACAGATAACGAAAATTAAAGCCACAAACATGGTTACTTGACGTTGCTCTGAGCAGAATCCACACATGGACCTTCAAGAAACGCCTCAACAACCATTTGTTCCAGGAATTCCTTTACTAACCCGATGCCTCTTCATGTTCCTTGAATGCTCTTATGTTGCACTGTTGACCCTTGAATAGTATTATTAAGTTCTTGCTTTGTTATAAGTTGTTCTGTAGTTGTGCAGTTGTTGTGTAGCTCCTGCTGTGATGCACAACCTAACTGCACCTATGCCTAGTTGACTACTTGACAGCATAAATGTTTGCAATATGTTATGTGCCTCACTTGTACGCTGCTTTGGACAAATGTATCTGCTAAATATATAAATGTAAATATGAAAAAATGAGGCTGATTCCTACTTTAAGCTTAAACTCATTTTAAGCTGACTTAGGTGCCAATTCAGCTATATTTATTTGAGAAGTTCCCACTGGAGATCAGAGAAAGGATGGAAACTGCTTGAATGGACAGACAACCCTGACAGGTTTGGCACTATCACACCAAGAACACTTTCATTGATCTTTGTAAGTGGGATTACCTGGTGCTGAAACACACTGCTCCAACTGCAAACTGAAACACACTGCTCCAACTGCAAACTGAAATGCACTGTAAAAACCTGCAACCTACAATGAACCTAGCCCAGACTGCAAAGCAGTGATGTGGGTAATAATCATCCAGGGACCCCACGGACTGAGAATTACAGATTATGTTACACGGGCAACACAGCACCAGCACAGGCAATGGCGTCTGCTCAGCACAACGTCTCCCGAGGCCACGTGGGTCTCACCGGGCCAGCACGCCAAGCCCCCAGAGCCGGACCCACAAAGAGCGAGAGGAAGGAGGAAGAGGAAGAGGGAGAGAAGGAAACGAGGGCCTCCGTCCCGCCCGTCCCAGGTAGAGGAAGGAGGCCAGGCCTAGATGAAGGGTGGAAGAAAACCGAAAGGAGCATGGAAGGAGGAGAGAAGGAGAGAACACAGAGTGGTGAGGACGTGGCAGAGACACAAAAGAAAAAACGTGGTGGAGATGTAAACAGGAGAAGTCATTATTATAACAGTCTTAAAAACACTTCTTGTAATGTTGCTGTCTTTTATATTATTGCAGAGCATGCAGCACAGCAGCACAGCAATGGATGCTGGATTCCCTGTTCATACACACAGTGCCCAGTCAAGAACTCTGTTGTTGCCTTAGCAGCCACATCCAAACGCCCTTTAATCTTTTAGCCTAATGATGCACTGCAGTATCCCAAGGCCTGCACTGTATTCAGAGCTTGCTTGGAAGCATATTCTTGCTGTACATTTAATTGTACGCTGGAAACACATGTGCTATGAAGTGTACCCCCGTAAAACTGGAGCCAGCTGAACAGTAATTGGCTACCCTGATTGCGGAGTGTTGTTCTGTACAAGAACAGGCACGTGTTTATCCCACACTACCACTTACTGTTTCAATGTGCTCTCAGTAAGCAAGCACCTGACTGAATATGCAAGGCCTTCCTGCCAGCCTTGATGCTTACGGACCATCACTGTTGATCCCTTCCTTTGTTCAGGTGGAAAGTTCAGGTCTAGAGAGTACAAATCCAGACTAAGGTTTTGTTTCCACCAACCAACTGATTAACCTGTGACTGTGATTCTTTATACTCAACTGGTCGGCTGAAACAAGACCTTGGTCTTGGTTTGTACTTCCTGAACCTGACCTTTCCACCTGTACTGCCAGCTGACTTTGGCATATCTTTTACAGATCGTGCAACTTGCAGGTAACCCCAAATCTGGGTATGCACCCCCCCCCCACCCCAACTGATCAATCAATAGACCATCACAGCAGAGTAACAGTATAAATGAAGAGTACACAGAATCCCTAACAGAAACACGAGCGTTTACGAAAGCAAACACAATCAACGCTACGTTCGTCTGATGGCGTCTGTGTGAGGAGTCTCAGAGGCACGCGTTTTCACGGGCTCCTTGGAGACCCATCTACGTGCATCGCAAAGGTTTTTGATGAGGCGGTATGGATCCAGGCAGTGTGTAAAGGTGCTCGGAATTGCAGCACAGGGAATTTCACTGCCACTGCTGTGAACAACGAAACCTAACAGGGAACAAACCTTAAAATAGCACACAATAGGTTCGAAAGATAAACAAAATCTCGACGGAAATCTCTCGAGGGAAGTGAGTTTCCTTTGAGCTCTAACCTCAACACCAGTCCTTCCATTTTTCAAAGAGTAATTCAATATGTCAGAGGTACACGTCTCATGGAAACAAAAAGCGGAACCGAGCTGGGTGTCAGGCGGACAGAACCCTCTGTAGATGTTTTTCTTTTTGAAGTTTTAGGGTACGATTTAAGAAGGCGGTCTGAAAACAGTTCAAACTAAACATCCTAGCTGATATGAGAGGTTTGGGCACCTGTTCCAAATAACCGTGTGACCCTGACATAATATCAGGAAAACAACATCAGTAAAATCGCTGCTTTCTGTTTGATGTTGCTAGATGGTTATATTCAAAGGACTAAACAGCAGGCTTAGGAGTATGTTTTATGTCAACAACTGGATGTAATCTTTACACACACATACAAATGCAGGTTTGTAATTATATCTTTGTGGGGACTCTCCATTAATTTCTATGTAGTAAACTCTAATCCCAACATCATGACCGTAATCCCTACCCAGCCGTAACCCTGGCCAAGCTAAATAGCCAAACTAAATATGAGAATTATGGCATTTTTATTTTTATGATTACAATCACAGATCTTTGTGGGGACCTGAAAAATTGTCCCCACAACATAAAAATAACAGGTTTTTATCACAATGTGGGATACATTTGGTCCCCACAATGTAATATAAATATAATCCACACACACACAAACACGCACACACACACAGCTATACCTTGAGCCACTCCTCTGCCTGCTCCTTGCTCTGTACAGCCAGTACCAGGGCATCTGCCCCCTGGTGGACAATCTTCAGCTCGTGCTTCTTCTTCTTGCCGTCTTTCGGGACATGCGTGATGCTGCACTCAGCCAACGGAAGATCCATTTGTGGGACCTGGTCCTTCGAAGACTTGTAGCACTACCAGGAAAGTGTGGTACAGAGGCAGAGTCAGACGAAGAATTACGAGGCAGAACTGTGCACAGTACACAGGACTATAGGAGCTGAAGATGCACATTAATATGGCAGCCTGATATGAGCCTCTATTATACAGATAGAAGATCTATGCTCACTGAGGGCTGAGGCAGAAGAAGCTCACTCAGGTGTTTATATGGTACTCTCTGAACGAATGTCTGGTTTTGTCACCATTTCTGTAGTCAAGCAGTCTATACTGATGCTTTAATCATTTTTTTATCCAAAGTAACTATCAATCCTGACACTTCATAAAGATAAACATGTTGTTCTAAGCTAAGCCATGTTGCTCGGACGCCCAGCAGAGTCTCCTGTCAGGACCCTGCTGTTGCCCACTGTCTTGCATTAACACTTTCTTGCCTATTGCTGCCTGCATTACAGCTTGTTCTTCCTCATCATACCTCACTGTACCCAGCATGCCCCATTTTCCATGTTCTACCCCATTTGGTCCTACATACCAGGAGCCTGTTGTCCTTGATGACACAAAGAAGCTTGGTCCATTGGCCGAAGCGCTTCTTGCGCAGCAGGAAGGCGCAGATGCGTGCGTCCTTCACCAGGTCCATGGAGGCCTCCTCTGATGGCCATTGGTGCCTCATCTTCTGGCCCTTTCCGTCCTCCTCCTCCTCATCATACGACTCATATGAGCTGCTCATGGCATCCGAGTCGTAGTCTGAAAGGTTCCAGATATTTACACCAGCTGACACTTGCTTCTCAGATGGACAAATGAAATTACGAAACTTTAGAGCTGGTTATACAGACCAGTTACTTAATCCAATCAAAACACTGGGCATTAGGCCATTAGGTCAGGGTGGGGGGAGATTACACAATTCAGGAGACTCACGAGATGTGATGTACTCAGGGGCCTTGCCCGGACCAAGGGGCACTGCCTCTTCATAGTAGCCCTCCGGCAGGGACGAGCTGGGCAGGGGAGGTGGCCCGTTGTCTGGAGGCTGGGGGACAGATCAACAGTAACATCAGGCTAACGTTCATGTAGAACTGCCCTGTCGAAACAAAGACGCAGTTTCTCCAGAGCGAACAAATGATGGTGGATTACATGTTCTGATGCAGGGTTCACTGTAGCATTGCTGACACTGAAAATTTGCAGTATCAGCCTTTAGCTGTTAGGCACTTAACCTAGATCCCAGCATCCAACTAGGTTAATGAATAGAAGCTAAAATTCTTATGCAAGCTGCTGCAGACTAAACATCTGTCAAAAGCATAAATATTGACAGAAGCAGGGACATGAGTGAAACGTACAAATGCTCGGTTCTGTAAATGGTATTGTGACTGCGCAGTGTCAACTGCGGTCAGCTCACTGGCACTGCCGATCTTAGCGGGGGAGCGACGAAAACATTCAACGCGACTGTTTCCAATCACGCATCCCAGACGGAGAGCAGGCCTGCGTCAGCCGAGTCTCTGAGCGCAGGCAGGCTATCAGGGGTGACCATCGGGGGACAAAGTCAACTCGCTAATCAGCCTGGCTGCCATGATCCTCAAAGAGCTAGGTAGCATGCCTCGCGCTAACGGTCTGCTGTCAGGTACCAGCTTGGGGAGCTATTACACAGAGAAGGTAGGCAAAAAGATTACGGAAGGAAAAAATAAACAGCTTTAGCTTAGCATCTCCTGCAATCTGCAATCTGGGACCAAACTTATCGAGTAAATAGACTGAGCTTACGCTGGGTGCCTTGGCTGATGGTTTTAGCCAAATGGATTTACAAAGCTTGTGCAAGTATACAGCTGGATATTTTCAAGGGACAAGTAAAAATTCAGGGTGGCTCAGTGAGCAGTACTGTTGCCTTATACCTTCTGGGATTGGGATTTGAATCCCACATCCACACAGCTCAGTATTGCATAAATCCCAAAAGGTAACAATTCTTTGGGTTATGAAACTGATGTGTTTACAGGTGTTTTTGTAAACTGAGACATTAGCCATCGTAAATGCACAGGGGCAAACTATCATCATGACGGTAAACCCCACTCGGGCTCCAGCAAGTCGCCACCCCCTCCCTCGGAAAGTCCTCATCTCTTCCACATTTATTTTCTTTATGGGCATTATGTGTCATTTTTTCCCGTCTGTGGAAACATGGGGGAAGTCCCCCAAAGGCCACCATTAGGGAGCTGGCACGAGTGCAGCAGTCAGTGATGGAGACACCCCTGTCACCGTGGCAACGGAATACACACGTAAAGGAAAGAACCCCGGACCAGGATCCAAGGCATACAATCACTACTCTCTTCAAGTCCATAATCCATTGAATGCAATGCTTTGCCCTAAACATTCTGCACTTGTTTTACCTTGATTGTTATTTTTATTGTTATTTCATTTTCTTTTTTAGTATTACGTTTTCCTTTGTATTGCACATTTCCTTCAGCACAATCCAGAAAGCAGCCAGAAAATTATCTCACTACAAAGAATTACAGTGTATGATTGCGTATGTGATAAATAAAACTTGACGGAAAAAAATGCATCTCTTCATTACTGCATGATCATTAGAGGAACACAATTACAGATATCAAAATCAGGTGTTGTGGGTTTCGAGTTTCATATGTCACACACACAAACACAGTGCACATGTGTATTATGTTATATAACCAGTTAAATAAAATATGACAGTGAAGTAACCCATGAAAAAGTGTTAAGAATAAAGTGGTAAGTCAGGTCGTCCTGTCCATTTTAAGAAGGGAGGTGGGTATGCTGGTTCTACTTCCAGAATTGGGTCATTGAGCCAGGGCGAGTAACTCATTATACCCCGATGAAAGATGCAAAGATGCTCCGGGCTTTTCGTTGGCAGGCAGTCCTTAATTACCCTGCGTTCCTGTGCCGGCTCCCACCTCCTGCCAAGATTTTCCACCAGCAATGTCATTAACCACCACCACCGCCCCCCCCCTCCCCCCTCAGTCCTGCATTCACAGCTCAGGCTGTGGCTGCACCCCAAAGCCTTATCGCATTTCCCCTGAGAGTGATACTGCTTCGTGAACTAATTCTTGGCAAATCCATCACCCGCCGCCCCCATCGCCAAAGCCCAGGCCTGCCCCCACATACACACAGGCTTCCAGCACCCTAGTCTGCATGTCTAAGAGAAGCAAAAGAGATGGTGTGGCACAGTAATCCGCCGGCCCGGTCCTCTGGGGCCCCGAGACCCTCCCAGCTCCCCAGGGATCTAAAGCATGGACTGTGTGGGGGTCCCCGAGGACCGGCTTGGGAAACAGTGGTGCAGCATATCTAGGGGGTAGGCAAACACTGACGGCTGAACAATGAAGGCAGTTCCTGCTCACTTCCCATCTCGTCTCTGTTTCCGCTTTCTCCCAGTTGATGTTGGAAGGCCACGCCGGTTATCATGCCATCAATGTATGTTTGCTTTCTGTCTGGAAAACTGTTCCTGTACCGAATGCCGTGTGTTCACGCGCCAGGATTTATGAGGCCGTCACAATGTGCACGTACACTCCAAGAGGCTTTTATTTCTTATCTTTAGCAGAAAGATGGAAATTAATGAATCCTGCTTCTCTGCCACAAACTGGAGGCATGTTGTGACCTCACTGGTGTGGCGACGGACCCTGAAGCCTGGGGCTCTGAGTCCCAACTCGGGGGCCTCTGTGAAAAAGTGCTTATCTGTGTTTCAGTGTTCGGGAGGGTCAATGAGGCACTGCTCCCCTTACCCCCTATTGACAGAACCCTGGAGAGATCGATATATCTCCATCAGCTGTCAGCGTGGCTGAGAAAGTCTTGCATCATCTCATAAAGCACATCTGAGCGCATGGCTTTTGGTCAGCCGCCTTCCCACAAACACTTGCAGTTTAGCATCAGTCCGCGTGGTTGAAATTAAGTGTGAACTAGATCCGAATGACAATCCAGAGCCTAAAGTGCAACGTGAAGAAACAAACACAATCAAGTAATGAATCAAGTTGATTTCAGTAATGTATAATAGCCCATTTCCTCACATGGATATATAATGGGGAACAGGTGGCTATTGCAGACTAATCTCACGTAACAAAAACCAACCGGTTAACTGTTCTGGCACCAAGAGTTACGTTTCCAGGTAATTATAACGACTGGAAATGACCCCCAGTTAATGCCGGGTTTTCTGATTGGCTGATTAGGCTGCCAATAACAAGTGCCCATTGCCATTACACGGCAGACTTATGCTGTCAACTTCACTGCATGTTTGGAAAGCTGTTAGAGCTGTTAACATAAACTTTGTTTCCAATTTATATTGCCGGCCAGTTTGCGAAAGGATGGAGGAAGTTATCTGGAAGGTTGATGGTCTTTAATAATAGCTGTTTTGTTACATTCTGGTGCCAGACTCAGGCGAGTCTTACAGAGCTGCAGGATCTGAAGGATATGAAGGTGCCTAGGGAAGAGATCATCACCCTGCCAGGAAATCAGCCTGGCTGCTGTGGATGCTTCCTGGACACCCCAGACAAAGCATTAGGGTCAGGTTCTCCATATCCAGTCCATGATGTTCTCCAAACCCACATGGTCCAGGACACCAGGCCCATCTCGGGCCAGCTGCAGAATCGGCTCTGCCGCCCTTCACCAAGCCCCTTCTGCAGCGACCCTGTTATCGCTTCAAACTCACTTCCCAAACACACATTTAATATTTCCCAGTCTTAAGCATGTTAGTGGTGGCATTCCAGCAGCAGAACCCAGGGTTTATCAGTGCATCTAGATTTTACAAGGGAAAATTCCTTCAGAACCTGAGGTTCTGGAACCAGATCTGAAATTCCACTCCTGGTTTGAAGATTTAAGTATTTATACAATACAATGAGCCGGCCCTGGCCAAGCACAGCAGAGCAGCAGACACATGCACACAGGCATGCACAGCCTGTGACGGGGCAATCTGCTAGCAGCAAAGATAACAAGAGCCGGGACCTGGGGGGGCTGCTGCTTTACCTCTTTGAGGCCCGATCTCAGCCCTCTGGAAGTGACCTTGCCGCCAGAGCTTAGTGAATGAACCATTGTACCTGGAGAGAAAGTCAGCCTGGACTCGGCGTCGGCTCTCAGCAACCCCCAGCCTGGCCAAAAAATAATGACCAGCAGATGGAGTAGCGGCTAAAGAACTTCCACTGTGTATAAAAATTCTAAGCCCAATTGCAGAACTGTATCAGCTTGGCCCGCTTGTGTAAAAACGGCACCAGGCGAAGTCTCGCCCAGCCCAGGGAGCACAAGGGCGGCTCTGTGTCCCGAGGCCCGTTTTCCGAGAGGCACGTCCAGCACTATTTTTATCTGCTCTGCCTTCCCTTCCGCCGCCCACACAGGTGAAACGTGTTCATTTGGCCAGAACAGGAGGCCTGTGATGAGCAGGGAGCAGAGATGCCCCCTACTGGTCCATATGCAGAGCACGCTACTTGTGTAGGTGCACTGACTGTCCGTCAGGGTTATTATCGTGAATGAAAAGCATCACAAAATTGAAAACTATCAGCAAAAAATTCTCATTAACTGAAACAAAAATATAAACAACTGTTTACCAAAAAATTCTAAACTAAAATTAACTGTTCAATACAAAACAATTGTATACAAAGCAAAACCACATAGTCCATAAAAGAGATCCTACTAAAATCCATATCATGCTAGAGATTATAAACACCCAACAGGTGGCAATGAATTTTATAAGTGAAGGTTGAACTCAAGTCCTACTTCAGACTAACCAACAAATTACAAACATACTTTGCATACAAACTGATGAAAATGAGATAAAAAAAAAGAAAGTTCAATATGGGCCTACTTTGATTATGACGTTGTTTCTGACCAAAGCAGGTATCTTATTGTGATGCATTACTTAAGGAGAAGAAGCTTATATGAAGAAGTTTACTTAACGTTCAAAGGAAAGGTGAAGGACCAAGAGAGATTATCCAAAAAAACATTTCTGACCAAGGCATGAGCCCTGCAATTCACTCCCAGCTCTCCCAGAGTCAACACATTCAGCTAACTCTACCTGAGGTCCGTGAAAACAGC